ATTCTTGACTCTTGCAGTGAAGCCTGAAGTCGTCTATAACCTCTGAGCTCAGCGTCACCAAGTAGAAAACAGAAACTCTGGACAGTTACACTCTGAATCACTAAGTGAAGACATCGTTTATTTAAAAAGAATTCTCACAGTAATCAACGGAGTCGATGTGAATATCAATAACTTTGTCCTGTAGAAACCAGTGGAGTTAGATATTTAAGATGTTTCTGAATCAAACTGGAGCCAGTTTGTGTGAATGACTCTCAAACACTTGAATTGACTTGAAGTGTTTGAACTCCTGATTCGTGTCAGAGTCTTAATCTGACTCATTTTAATGATTCGCTTATTGATGATTGAATGGAGAAGATGAGTCTGAAGATGTTTGGATTTTTTGCTCATTAATAAGTAAATGGAATTAATTAAAAAACACTGAATCATTTAAGAATCATCACGTCTTAAAAAAACCTTTTCTGCTGCGACGCGTTGAAAATGAGTTTGGTTTCCTGTCAATGATTTCATCTGCGTGTCACATTTCAAAAGTGAAGATCAAGAAACGAAGCAAAAACTGTTCAGGCGAAGTCGCTTCAGACTTTTCTGGATCAGACACGAGCAGATTCTCATCAGAGGAAACAACATGCGACCGGTTTGTATTATTCAGGATTTGTTCAACTAGAATTAAGGCTCATGAATTTGTCCAGCTTCATTATCTCTCCTCAGGGTTTTGTGGGAAGCACTTTGTGAGAATGTTGAATAAAAGCACTTGACGACTGTAAAACTACTTCTTAGTGAAGAACTTCCTGAAGACGCTCCTTCTGGACTTGTCTTTGTTCAGGTTGTCCTCTGTTACCTGGTTGTAACGGTCCTGGTTGTCAGGGGCAGCAGGACTCGGTACTGGGGGAGGATGGTGATGACGAGTCCGTAAGCCTGCGGACAAACAAGTAGTCAGTGCAAACTGCCACAGAGAATTACTGTGGCGATGCAGGAGCCGGAGGTCTTCTCACCTGTGGTCCTCAGCCCCCCCCCCTCAGGGTAGCAGTGTTTGTCGTAGTAGGTGTGGGGGGGTTTGGGAGGAGGCTGGCTCTCTGTGGACGATTGTCTCTCCAGGCTCTCACCGCTCCTGTCCGCTGGTCTGGATGAATCCTCCGCGGCCTCGGTCAACTTCTCCAAACTCAGGTTGACGGAGGAGGCTCTCCTGAACAATGACGTCATTTCAGATCTTTTAGCTTCAGTAAAATACTGAACCATCACCAGGCTCCGCCCCGAGAAACTACCGAGCCCAGATCAGCGCTCACCACAGACACACCTATTGTTCTGATATCACATCGACTATCCTACATCTACTGTCTCGTACTATATGGTATCTATATAAACTACAATACACCTCCTATATAAACTATGATACATCTATATTGTAAATTATATCTAACATACTACGTATAATATCTACAGTACAATGTATAGTATCATATATCTATAGTCTCTAACTGCACAAGTAGATATAAATATTTAGTTAAACACAAGTGACAGATTTCAGTGAAACACTTTAAAATCTACTGATTCTAATGATAAAACATGAGAAACATTTGATTTCATGAACTATGGGTGATGCAAACATTTACTGTTTTTCTGTACAAATTATATTCAGACTATTTGAATGGATTCTGTCAAATTACTGTTTTATTTGTACGTATCCAGGACATAGACGGGACCCGGACGCAGCACAAAGACAAATAAAATCAGTTTCACTTCTGATTTGCAGAAGTGTAAACGGTTTCTTCTTCTCAACATTCGTTGGTCAACAAACAGCTCTGACGCTAACGCTGCTGAAGCCAAGTCTCCATTTTACATTTCTATTTCCACCCCTGTTGAATAAACATATCAGCTGCAGAAATCATTTCATCATATATTTCCCCTCCACACGTGACGTCTGACAGCTGAGTGGACCCGTGTCCAGCTCCACCATCATTTCCATCATCGTGCTCCTGCTGAATATAATTCACCTCGTCAAAGTTTCTCATTAAAGAAAAATCCTGCTGGTCAGGTTTCATTTCTTTGTGCTTGTCCCCCACCTGAGAGGTGCCCGGTGTTCCCACAGTGCACAGTGTGAAGGAATAGATGTGAAAGTCAAAGTCAAATTACCTGACGCTGTTTGAAGGAAACCACTTCAGCCTCAAACTCCATGAAACGCTTGTGACTGACAGACGGCCTGTTTGACCCCGAAGGAATCAACTGTGTCCAAAGCACTGATGAAATCATCACTTAATTGGTTTGATACGGTTTTTATTAACTCTGCTGAAAGAGTTTGGTTGTTTGTTTGTTTGTTTCCACGGAAACTCGGAGGAAGGATGTTGTATAGGACAGAGAGGAACTCACTGGACCTGATGTCAGGAACTTATGGATCTTGATGAAACATTTATGGGGCCTGATATTTAAGAATGGGAGAAATTTGATGGGGATTAAAATAAAAATCCAGATCAAGTGGTGGATTTAATGTGGTTTCATAAGGAGCTGGGCCTTGACGGAGCTCTACGCTCTGACTGAGGTTTGAGTTCACTAGTGAAGTGCCTGTTCTGAAGCGCTCTGTTTTTAATGAGCTGTTTTCTTTTCTCGGTGAAACTGTGCGAGTGAAGAGCTGCTGCTGCTCAGACACGTTCACCTGTTTATTTAAAGTCCAGTGAAGCTCGACTATTTTTTTTAAATGAACGGGTCCCAGCTGCCGCTGCTACAGAGCAACACTGAGCTTCACTGGAGCCTGAACGACACTCATGACGAGCGTGAAGCTGATGAGATGAACAGGTCTGATACAGATGTGAGCCACTCAGACACTGGTGTTCTTGTGAGGCCGTTTGTGCTGAGTCATCAGAAGTATTTCAGCCGCAAGAACAAACCCCTGGTTTTACAATCGCACAATCAAGAACACTTTAAAATAGACTCGAGATAAAATGATGTAACACACGTGTTTGAACAAATTCTCTGGTTGAGAATGAAAAGAAACTTCAGATCCACAGTTTACTGAACATTTAGAGGATGAAACTCATTAAATCAAATAAAGTATTAAATAAGCAAAACCAGCAGCAGGAACCATGAATTTATTTTAACAATCAGTTAAAATGACAGTGGATGAGTTTTGAAATGAGATGGTGAGGACATTTTGTCTGCTGCTTGTACTGAGCGTCACAAGTGACTTTTAGGGTTAAGTGTGTGTGTGTGTGTGTGTGTGTGTGCGTGCTCACCCCGAGTCGTCGGAGTCGCTGTTGGCAGATTCAGGACGGTTTTGGAGCTTCGTCACCCACAGCAGCTGAAGCTCTCGGCTGGACGCTGCAAACAGGTACTGACTGCCATCGTCCAGTCTGATGCACAAACACACACACACACAAAGCTTTTTAACACACACACACATCAGTGCACGTTGTGCCACGTTGTTGAGACTCACAGGACTTTATTCTGAAGTTGTAGAGGAAATCACAAAGTTTCCAAAGAAATCAAACTGGTGGTAGAAATGAGTGAAGTGAATAAAGGAGGTGAAAGTTTAAGACTTTTCCTAATATCACAGTTTCTCAGTCATCCCCACTGGAGTATGAAGGTGTGATGATCCAGAGAGGATGATAATTACATGACTTCCCAGCAGCTTATGACACAAACGTGAACGCCCTGTGGGCTGCTCCCAAGTCACCATGAGAGATTGAGGTTTGCACGATCCTGTTCAAATGGAGCTACAATAAAAACCTTTCATTCTTTTCTGCAGTAGAAAGTCGAGTCCACCTCGTGGCTACGTGTCGTTCTGCGCAGTGAGAAACTGGTTGATAACAGTGAGGCCAAGGACTTTATTGTTACAGCAGCAGAGAGTCGGAGAGCGGTCGACAAGAGAACATGTGAAAGAATAACACTAGAATAAAATATAATCCTTTCACCAGAGACATAAATATTACTTGTAGTGGAAAGTTCCTGAGTAAAGTGCAAAACAAATGTGTGTCTACGCCAGAGAAGCAGATGTTTGTGAGCCGCTCACTTACATCACTTTGAACGTGTTCTCCTTCCTCCTGTAGAAAGGGTTCTCTTTGCAAACTGCTCCAACCATGTTGATAGGAGGCCACCTAGAGGTCCTCTGTGGTAGCACAACATCATAGAACATTAAAGTGAGCCGTCTTTCTGTCCAGTGTTTGATTCTGAATTACTTTTGATGAAGCATTACTGCTCTGGAGTCGTTTCATAAAAGTGTACCTGTGCAGCAGCTGCTCGATCTTTAAACAGAGCGAGTGTCTCTCCCTCCAGAACAGCGAACACCTCCTCCCAGTGCTCCGCACCCTGCAGCACACACATTATGCATCTTTATTAAAACAAATCTTTTTTTTTATTAGCTGGAAATGTGTGATGAAGAGACTTTCAACATAAAAGCATCTAAAATGTGTTTAAACTGAAAGCAGCCTCAACAGTTTGTGGTTTTATCGTTAAGTTCAATTTGTTTCATTCTTCATATAATGACCATCAGTGATTAATGCACCATTTTTTATGTGAACAATCTTTAGTAATAATTTCAGGTTCAGTGTTTAAGGACACATCAACCTGTGGAGGTCAGGGATCGAACTACCAACCCTCTGAATAGCAGCTAAGCTTCAGTCATGTCACTGTCTTCATACAGTCTCAGTCTGAAGTCAGATTAAGAAAATTCTCTTTCCTGTCCGATGAGACAAAAGACTCGTCCAAAGTTTCTCACCTTGTTTCCTGCTTGTTTCAGTTTGATCTCCAGCAGCCCCTCCATTCTGATTGGCTGCTCAGCAGACACCTGACAGAAACACAGGTGGGAGACAGTGGTTATCCGTCATGTGCAGTTTTCCATTATTTCAACAAGTCATAGCAAAAACAACAACAACAACATACAGCAGCAGCCATGTTTTTAACACTTCTTGTTACTATCACTTGAAGTTATCAATGCAAAACAAAGAAAGGAGGAGGAGGACAGAAGAAAGAAGGCTGAAAGGAGGAGGAGGAAGTACATGGGGAGGGGGAGATAAACATCGAAGAAAGGAGGAGGAGAAAGAAGAGAGAAGCAGAAAGAAGGAGGATGAAGAAAGACGTAGGAAGAAGGAGGATGAGGTTGATTGACAGTCGGTACCTCAGCTGTGGGATGGTCCTCTGGTAAATCTTCAAACTGACTTTGACGCTGTGGAGGAGACGGAGGCAGCTCCCTCGTTGGAGGAGCGAGGTCCTTTGTGATTGGTTCAGCAGTCGTGGTTTCAGGTAGTGCGATCTGTTTATCGGTAGGTGGAGCTAGAGAGTCGGGAGAGACGGGACGTTTGTTTATTGCTGATTCCAGGCGGGTTAGTCGTTGTCTCACCGAAGGCGTTGGCGTTTCAGGGGGAGTTTGTCTTTCTGCAGGTTGAGGTGACGGTTCAGTGGGAGCAACGTGCGCTCCGATTAGTGGAGGTGAGTCAGGTGGTGTTGTGGGCTTCTCCCATTTGTGCTCAGAGCTGCGTCCAAGCCTCCGCTCAGTGGAGGTGATTCTAGGCTTTGGAGCTAGAGGAGGTTTGGATGTGAGATGAGGATCTTCCTCCAGAGCTCCTCTAGATGAGGAGGAGATGGAGGTTTGAGGGGGTATGGGAAGTTTGGGGGAGGTGGGTGGAGGTGATGGAGGACGTGTTGGAGAGGAGGGGGTGTTTGGGTTTGAGTGTCTGCTTCGACGTCTCCAGGTCTTTACAGTCGGGCTGGAGCTCGGACTAGCAGGGGGACTGTCAGTGGATAACTCTTGAACCTTCCTGTCGGTGCTGATTCGTCTCCTAACATCTGGTTCACGCTGCAGAGACGGGCTCGGCGGGGGACTAGCAGAGGTGGAGGGACTGGTCTGATCTGTTTTCTTGTCCAGGGTGGACGGTCTGAGTCTTCTGTCTGTCTGTCCACCACTGCTGCTGCTGCTGACTCTGCGAACGATATCTCTCGAGGATAAGACCCGCGGGGTCCCTGGATCTGATGGTTTCCTCCTCAGTGATGACACTCTGGGAGAAGGTCCCCTGTCCTGAAGGTCCTTGTCCTCCTTTACATGAAGACCCAGTCTCTTCTCCCGCTGGAATAAAAAAATAAAACATTAAGTCTTTTCTTCTGTTCATTTTAATATTTTATTGTTGACTTTCACAGTTACAGCCATTAATGCTGAAAACAAACGTCCCTGAGGAGAACCGCCCAGCTCCTTGTCTCTCTGACAGCTGAAGTTTACTTTTTAGTCTTTTCTCAACTGAAACACTTTCTATGTATTTATCTCCTCATGTCGTCTAACGCTCTTCAAAGTGTTTCCTATTGTTTGTCTTCATTTCTTCACCTTCTACCTGTGTTTTCAAGTGTGCTACATATATATGAAGTGTTTTTATCTTGTCATGTCACCTGTGTTTTCTTCGTCTGTAGTGCGATGAAGCGGTCGCTCTGGGCCACGATCATGGCCTCCAAGTCCTCCTGCCTCTTCAGGAGCTCCATAACATCAGACACAGAGTCCTGCAGGGGCCACAATCACAAACAGATCCGTTAATCCTCAGATGCTTCAGCAGCATTTTACTGTTGAAGCTGCTTTTAACTACTTTAAATACACTTTGATCGTTAAGTCCCACCAGAGGATCACTGAGGGGGGGTCAACACATGATTCACTGTTATTGAAATAAAACCAAGTGAGACATTCAGAGGAGAAAAAAACATAACAGCAAGACTCATTTTACACAAGAGTGTGGATGTCAAATATTAATCTCAAAAATGACAAATCAATATATAGAGCAGTAAAAAGTACAATCTGAATATAGAGAAGCACAAGTGTAAAAGGAAATGCTCAAAGTAAAAGTATTTCAAATTGTACAGTAATTGTTTCAATATACATGGTTCCTTGATTCACAGGTCGTCAGCGTCTGGACTTACCCCGTAGTCCTCGGCCGTCAGAGTGTTTTCATAGGAGCTCAGCCAGCGATCTGCCTGCTCCAGCTCCCTCTGCAGGAGCGAGATCTCCAGCTCCTCCTCGTACAGCAGCTTAGTTTCCTCCCACACCTGCTGCACCCGCGTCTCCAGCTCCTCCAGCTCACAGACACGCTCCTCCACCTGGACGGACGAGGAGAGATGACAGGTACTAAGTCATCAACAGGTATATCTGCCTTCTTTAATTCAAGTTGTCTATTTATGTTCCATCACCTGTTGGGACATAAAGCTTCCATCCTCTATCAGTCGCCTCCCTTCGTCCTTCGCAGCCTGTGATTTGCTGAGCTGCCGGTCGATCTGGACGCGGTACTCGTTGTGCTTTTTAAGGAGCTGCTCCAAGTCAGCGCCCTCCACTCTCTGCACCTCCCCTCTTACCAGAGACAGCATCTCCTTCAGCCACGCCCTGGGACACATCACAGACGTCAGACTGTACCTGCAGCAGCAGCAGGGTGCCTAACAGCTAGTTAGCATGGCTAGCATTGTTAGCATAGGAGCACATTGCTATGTGTAGCTCATTGACTGTATAAAAACAAGGCAGGTGGAGATAAGATAACTTTATTGGTTCATTTCAAGTGAGATGTGAAGAAAACCTACATGAGTTCAGTCCAGTGAGAAAAGTATTTCTGCACATCTTCAGCCTGGCCCAGTCTGGCGTGGCGTTGGGAGGCCTTGTCCTGGATGCGGGTCCAGCAGACTTCCAGCTCCTGCAGTGTCTGAGTGACACCGTGTTTGGACCGAGGCTGACGTCTGCTCAGAGCTCGGCCCTCCTCCCTTCTCCTGCTCAGTTCCTCGGAGATCAGCTCCAGGTCTCTCTGACAGGACACATCCACAACAGGTTTGTAGTAATTAATCAAATTATCACTGTTCGTCATGTTTGAGCTTTTACTTTTATAACCCTGAGCCACTATATTTACACTTCCTGCCCATGTTTCCTGCTGTTTCCTACCTCCAGAGCTTCGTGCTGTCGGAGCAGAGTCTGGATGGACTGCAGGTCATGGTCCTGGTCCTCTGTGTCCAGCACCACCTCCTTTTCAGCCATCCAGCCCTTCAGCTCGTCCACATCGTGATTAAACTGATGGATCTCCCTCGCTGACTGCAGACTCTACAACACAGGGGGGAACGAAACCGTCACCACCTCCATCCTGTCACATGCAAACCTGAGTGACGTCCCAGCAACAGTGCTGCACCTGCTCTCTGGTCCTGATGCTGCTGCTGAGGGCGTCCCAAAGGTCGCTGAGAGCGTCGTCTCTTTTGCGGGCCTGTCCATCCTGTGGCAGCCCCCGGCCAAGCTGCTGCACTGAAGTCAACCTGCTCCGACCCAGACCAGACACCTCCGAGACCAGGACCTCCAGTTTCTTCTGAAGAACCTGCAGATGGAAGATGGGAGTGAGGAGTAAGAGGATGACGAGGGAAAATCACTAAGGTTACGGACGAGAGCTGAAAGAAAAATATTTTCTTCTGGTTTACAATCACTCTGGGTAAACGAGAGATGAGGAGTCATTCGGTCCAAACAGCTTCGAATGTCTTAATTCTTCTTAGCTAGACTGAAAACTGCATTCAAAGAATCACAGGATAAAGTTAAAGTCTCCACACTTTGATTTTAAACCTGCACAAAGTTCACCTTGTTCTTATCAGACTCACCTCTACGTCTTCCAGATCTTGTCCACAGTCCTCAGACTCGGCACTATTCTTCCTGGAGGTCAGCCATGTTTCTAGTTCTTTGGCCTCTCGTTCGAACACGTAGAGACGGAGCTGATTTTCCAGAGCAACACGACGAGAGGCAGAAAGTCTGAGGATAGTTTCAAAGCGCTCGAGAACCACAGGGAGGGAGTCAGCGACCAGGTGGCTGACAGAGAGACACACAACCTGAAGTGTTCATTGTTTATTTAAGAAACAAGAATCAAAATGAGCCATAGACGCCTGTCTGTTCGTTTACCTGTGGGGATGTCCGAGGTGCTGTAGGGACGCTCCGCTCTCCTGCAGCCTCTCCACCATCTTCCTCTGGTTCTCCAGCTCCACGTCCACAGAGTCCAGCCTCCTCAGCAGAGCCTCGGTCGCCTCCTTACTCCTCCCACACTCCCGCGACTCCAAACCCACCCACTGCTCCTCCAACCACAGCTCCAGCTCCGACACCTCAACAGACGCACACACGTAAATTATTTTAATAATATTTGTAATGAGGAGATCAGCAGCTCCAGGACCTTGATCAAGTAGTTTGAGAAGAATCAGGAGTAAATCTGTAGGCTGGAGGTGCAGCAGCTCTCATGCAGTATTATGGACAGGACATGAGCGTGTTACCTCGCAGAGGAAGTTGTGGATGCTGAGCGCCTCCTGCAGGAGTTTCTCCTTTTTCTCCACCTCCATCATCAGTTCCTCGTGGAGACTCCTCAGCTCGTCCAGACGCTCCCGAATATCGTGAGACGCAAAGTGACGACCTCTGACCTGCGTCATCATAAAAACATAATTTTCAATATAAAGCTGAACCGACTTTCAAACACATTCTAAGGATTTTAATTAAGTGTGACTGATTCCTCACCAAACTATGTCCCGCCTCCTGAACTGCCTGGACCAATGGGGCGCGGCTTGAGATCTCCTGCATCACAGCCTGAAATGATTTTTTTTCATGATTTCCTTGATGACATTTTGTTACTTAGATTATTTAATAGGTTGTTTGACAGTTGTTTGACCCAACATGCAACAGATTGATCGAGACAATAATCAGCAGATTTACAGGAAACAACCTTGAATGCTTGTCGTGGCTTTATATTTATATTTATGTTATATATGTTCGGTGAACTCTGACCTGCGATGTTTGCGTCTCAGTCACGAATGTGAAGCGAACATCAGCGGCAGTGTGGGAGGTTACCTGGTGTTTGTGGAGCAGCTGCTGGGTGCTGCTCGGGGAGCTCCCCCAGTCTTTGGTAGTGACGGAGGGCAGTTTGACGCTCAGCCAGGCCACCTCCTCCTCCTGGTCTCTGTAGAACTGGAACAGAACCTGCCAGGCCTCCAGGGTTTCCCTGCGACTCTGCAGGGGGTCTGAAAGACCATTATACCTAACAGACGACATGAACACACACCTGTTTTAAAACTGTACATTTGAGAATGACTAAAATCATCAACATCTTTATCCATTAATGTATTCATCATCATCACGGCACTAGCCACGTTTCCCACAGTTCATCATGTAGTGCATCTACTGTTGTTAGACCTGTTGATGGTGTGAGTCACTCTGGTCTGGATCTCCTCAGCCAGGAAGTTTCCCTGAGAGTGGAAGGTCTTCGCCGTCTCCACCAGGCCCTGATAAATATATTATGTTTTTACTAAATTACCCAAAATCCACTTACTCATGATTTTATTTGCTGGTTTGACTTGTACGATATTAAACTGAGTATTTTGACAGCCGATCTCTGAGTTTATAAATCAAGAGGTCAAGGACCTGGATTCTGTCTCTGAGTCCGTCCACCTCCTCCTCCAGCCCCTGCAGGGCTTTCAGCAGCCTGCTGACAGACGGCAGGTCACTCCCACAGTCCTCATTGGCTACTTCCCGCTCCACTGAGCCCACGCACTGCTCCACGTCGTCCAGTGATCGCTGGAACTGCAGCGCCTGACAACACGGTGATGACATCGATCATTCCAGACATCACTACACATTGTCTCATTCCAGTGGAAACTGTATCCTGATGCCTTCACGTGGATGTTTATACAGTATATCATCAAGGAGTAACCAGTGTGTGTGTGTGTGTACCTGGTAGGCCTCCTGCAGTCTGGTTTTCTTCTCCTTGCAGTTGTGGATCAGGGCGTCCCAGCTGTCCGTCAGCTCTCTGAGTCGAGGCCGAACCTTCACTTCAGCTGAACTGGACTCCGACAGCAGCTTCTCTCCTTCCTGCAGGAACAAAACAACAAACATGGACGACATGACAGCTGCCCAAAGTGAAGCCAAAGATTATTGACCATTAACTCCTCCTCCTCCATGTTGACAGATGTTACATGGACAAAACATACAAACAAACAAAAAATCTGAGATGATGTTAAAATTTCAGGTCGTCACATTGATGTTTGTTATTTGATGATATAAAAACAAGCTGAGAACGACTGCGATTGGTCAAGTGCATGTATGGGCGGGGACTCCATACCAGACACACACACACTCACCTTGGTGGGTGTGTCCACTCTGTAGCGGTTCCCGAGGATCTCCGCCTCGAAGCTCTGATGTTTCAGCAGTTTGGCCTGAAGGTTGGTCGGTTCCCTCCAGCTCTCATCTGATGCCACAGCGTTACGCTCGTTCAGCCACACACACACCTGGAAAACACACATTTACACGTATTTAATACACAGACCTAAAAACACTCACACAGTGCATACAGAATAGAGTTGTAGTACTAGTAGTAGTAGCAGAGTACAAGAGAGATGAATGAAGTACTCTAGTAGAGCATGATAGAGGACAACTGGGTGCAGTAAACTACAGCCAAGTCCAGTCGACTACAGCAGAGTGCAGTAGATATATATGTAGATACATAGCATAGTATATTCCAGTAGACTACTTTATAGTACAGCAGAGGACACAGCAGTGGATTACATCATAGTACAGTGGATCACAGCAGAGTATATCATAGTATATTACATTACGATTAGTTACCTGGTAGCTGCTGGATAAAAACAGCTGCAGCTGCAGCGATCGATCCAGAGCTTTGTGACGAGATCTGCTCTGCTGCTGCAACTGACTCCGCCTACACACACACACACAGACAGACAGACAGACACACACAGACAGACACACAGACAGACACACAGACAGACAGACAGACAGACAGACACAGGTGTCAGCTCCTTCATGAACAGCACATGTGTCATGATACAATAGAATCATGATAAACAAACTTGACTGAATATGAAGCTGTAAGATTGAGGGAACCATCTCTGAACACTTGGAACAGATGGAAGAATCCGCCCGTCAGCACAAAGCTCACTCTGTAGTTCTCACCTGACAACAAGTGCCTTGCTCTTGGCTCTGATGTTGTCGGAGTCGTAGTGCTTCTCTTGGATCATGTTCTGAGCCAGTTTCTCCACCTGGTCCAACTGCTCCGCCTGAGCCTCCAGAGCCTCCTCAAACTGAGTCTGTTTCCTCTGCAGAGTCTCCACCTCTGTCACAGAGCCCTGGAAGCACAGAGAAGCTAAACACTTCAGCGACCAGGTGACTTTCCCCAAACTGGACGGGTTTTAAAAAATAAAGTAAAATTATCTTTACCCCAAGGTTCTGATTGGACAAGAAGGTTTCCTTATTGCTGAGCCAACTCTCACACTGTTCCACAGAGGCCAGGAAGACCTGCAGGACGGAAACCATGTTAGTCAACTAAAGAAAACTCTTATTTATTTTTATTATTACTGCTATAAATACATTTGTTTAGTTGTGGTTTATTTTGAGCAGGGGGGTGGAGCCTGACAGATCTCGAGGACACTACACACCCACCTACACCTGCTGCAGCCATTGGAAGGTACCAGCTGTCAATCACACTGTGTTATCCATGCTCCAAATGGTCTATATGACTTTAAATGGACCATAATTTACAAAAAGAACATCATGTAGTATTGAAGAAGACTTGAAACCATAAAAGAAAATGTTTTTGAGTTGTATAGAACCAGTGGAGTTGTCCACTGCTCACAGCATTGGCTTCACTTTACACAGCCTACGAATGTTTTTATAAAGAGTCCAAGATTAATCCTCAATAATCACCTGCAGGGTTCGAGCCTGCTCCAGTGTTGTTCTGCGCTTCAGCCAGGCTTCGTCCAGTCCAGCTTTGGCTTCCTCCAGCTGGTTCAGAGCCTTCTGGAGCTCAGCTTTTGATCCGTGGCCAGAACGGATGAGACCCAGACCGAAGTCCTGTACAGAGGCGATGCGGTCGGCACGGGCGTTGATCTCTGTCTGGAAATACAGAGACAGGGTTTATTGTTAAATTGTAAATCTGATCAAACTGTAATAATCCTAAAAGGTCTAATAACATAGGTAGCAACAATGCTCACCTTCCAGTCTTGATGCTCCATGATGAGCTGATCGGCCTCCGCTCTGGTCTTGGGGAGACCTTTCTCTGCCATCTCCTTGCTCTGCTTGATGCTCCACTCCAGCAGGAGGCGCTGGTTAGCTTTGAAGAGCTGCAGCTGGTGAGCTTCCTGCAGCTTGTCCTTCCTAAACAAACATTTCCCATGAGTCCATCTGCTAATCTAAAGGGCTCTGTCACACATATGCGAATGCACTGTTGTGCTCTGGTCACGCTCGAGTCAGTTCTGTCCGAGTGTTTGTAAATGATCGGGGTGAGCGATAAGACCTACAATTAATATCAGGATACGTTTCTCTTCTCATGGTTTTATATAACCATATTTCTCTCTCCACTCGTCTCTTTAAGCTCCTTTCACACATCCACTTTTCCTGGATTTCTACGGATTGTATACCAGGAGGTCAGAAGGAGGGGCTCTCAATTAGACATTTGTGTTAACACATGCACTTCCTCCGGAGAAAATACAGAGTATCTGAGATCAGTGCAAGTCTGAAAGCATCTTCCGACGGCTTCGCACCATCCACCCCTCATCGGGTATCAGTGCCACGTTGGTCTTGTTTGTAGTTTTATTACAGCGTGTAAATATCTGCATCACTGAGAAAGAACTACAACACACAGAGACATTACAAACACTGTGTGCCACCGAAACATTTCTCTCCACCAAATTATTAAATTAGCTTGACTAAAATAAACCATTTCTTTGCCAATAATAAAAATCTGTCATGTTCACCAGAGTTTGACGTCTTTCTCCAGAGTCTTCAGAGCCTTCTGCACCTCCTTCTGTTTGGTCTTCAGATTGTCGCTCATCGCTGACGGAGCCTTCAGGTGATGTGACGTCTCCTTCTCCAGAGCCTGTTGAGGTCGGAGTGAGAAAAGTCACTGTGAAGCAAAAGCATCTTAACCCCCCTCCCTGTGGCTGGCTGCGGTTTAGGTCATAAACCGTACCTCCTCCATGTTAGCAGATGGGAAATGGACTTAATTAACAATCTTAAAATCTTACAAACATTTCTCAAAGATGGTTTCTGTCATTTCAAGTAGTTCTTATCACACTGGTGTTTGTTCAAGTGTTCATGTTTCTGTTAAGTTTGGTTTTTAATTCGTTATTTGATGATATAAAACAAAGTGAAACGTCATTGACGTGATTGACAGTTGAGACTGACAGCGTGAGGAAATGGAGACGTCAGTTTAGAGTGACAGAAACGTCTCAGGCTCCCTGAATGGTCTCATCAAAAGTCTTAGAAGAGTTGTGAGATTAATGATGAGGGTCAAACTGATTTAGAACCCCCTCTCACAGCTTTCATCTCACCTTTGACCTCTCCCGGATGACCCCGGCCTCTCGCTCAGTTTCCTCATGACGTTTGATCAGGTTCTCTACGCTCTCCACATCAAAACCACAGTCCTGACCTTGCAGCAGCAGCATCTACACAGAACAAATCACGTTAACACACACAGACCGTCTCGCTGTGTTATCTGAGGTGTAGTTTGACAGATGACCGACCTTCTCATTGGCTCGGTCCCTGACCTCCTCCAGTTCTCTGATGAGGGCGTGGATCACCAGCGCCCCCTCCAGCTTCCGCTTGTAAGTGCTGAGATCTCCGTGAAACTTGCTCCACCTCATTAAGACAAGATATTTAGTGCAAAGCTGAGAAGAGAAGCCACAGATGTGTGAGTGAATGTGAGCGTTACCTCTCGTTGAGTTGCTGTCTCCGCTGTCTAACGGTCACCAGTTCGTCGTCGCTCTGTCTCTTCTCCAGTCTGGCCGCCAGTTTGTTGATGGCTGTGATGTGAGCGTCGTCCACTGTCGCTTCCTACAGATTAAATCACAGGTGGAAATAAAAACACTGACATACATATCACCACTGAGGAAAATCTCTCCACCTCTTCCTGCTAACCTGACAGTGAACAAATGAAGCACATTGCTTCTATTCACCCTGAGAACCACCATGTTTGTTTACCACCTGCCCCAACATTTTATCATTAAGGAAAAAATAGAATTACTGTCCTGTGGTTGACCTTTGCTCCCTGAAATCTAATCAGTTCATTTAAAGTTTAAATCAGAAACAGGAAACAGTCATAGGCACCTGAAGACAGACTGTGTGAACTAAATAATCAATGAAACTTGTTAGTTACAGTCCGTCTTCAGTAACTCACCCCGTCTCTGGCTCCTCTGAACTCGCTGAGTCTCTTCAGCAGTTGAACCCCGTGTTCGTAATCCTTTCCAACATCTCCAACATTAACCATCACCTCCTGAAGTCAGACACGACACACGTCACACACAGGAAACGTACAGATTTCCACTCCTCCACCACCTATACCCGCTTCTACCTTCTGTCTGATCCAGGCCTCAACCTCTTCTACTTTCTGCAGGAACTCGAGGAAGTCTCTCTTATCTTCCAGAGCTTTCCCTCGAGTGGCCACGGCCTTCTTCAGCTCCTCCCAGTGGAGCTGCAGGGCGGCTGCACTCCTCCTCACCTCCTTGGCCCTTGGGCGATGGAGGGAGACCAGCTCCTCGCCAGCCTGGTGGCACAGAAGAAGAAAGAGTTCTGCACATTTCAGGGGAAAAAAGATCTATTCTGTTGTGTTAACGCACCTTGATGTTGGTTGCCTCTCGCCAAAACAAACAAAGAAGATCAATTCTTGACAAACTAATTGCCCCATCATTGTTATTTCCTCCAAATGAATCCCTTCCTTATTTCATTCCACTGAGCTGCATATTACCTCATTAACTCATAATGTTATCATCACATCTCTAGGCTCAGTTATGCTGCATTTACTGTACATGTGAAAAGAGATTTGTCTGTTTCAATAATGTAACCGACACTGTTTACATTGACATTATTAACCATAAATCCACTAGAGGCCAGCACAGTATGGACAGAGGGCTCCGTCTGTTTCTGTATCATGCCCTCACCTAACTTCTTCGTTTCTATAAGGTTGAATTTTAGAAGTTCTCATAATCTCATGTATTTCCGCTCATCATATGTTATCGTCGGATCTCTTCATGTCCACCTACCAGCAGCACGGAGCTGATGATCTCGCTGTGCGCCAGGATCTCAGCCTCAAACACCTGATGCTTCTGGAGGAGCTTCATCTTGGTCTGCAGATTGGTCAGGTCAGCTTTGCCGTCCTCCGCCATCTTCTGCATCCGCTCAGACACCCACTCCTCGGCCTGGCAGATGGACAGAAACATGTTGTACATCTATACTATACAGAGACAACTGGACAGACGTTTGTCCTTGAGTACCTCTGCAACATCTCGGCTGTAGATACACAGCATCCTGGAAAGCTCTAGCTCATCCCTGCGTCTGATGGACAGCTCCTTGATCCTATCCCGTCTCTGGAAGAGGGCTTTGAGTTTGGTTTGGACCCGGCCACTCTTCTCTCTGCTCAGCTGCTTCTTCAGCTGCTCAGCGAGCTCCTTCAGGGAGAACAGCTGGAGCAACAGAGGGAAGGAGGATTTGAATGAGGTAACAACATATTTGAGTGTAAAGGGACAGAACGTTAGCCTAACTAAGCTGGGATGCCCACAATCTGCCCATTGGAGCAACCAGATGATGATGAAACAGGATTAAAGTCTAGATCTTCACCAAGCAACATCAACAACAGCAAACTAAGCAGAAGACAAAAGACACAAAATCAAGTTAAGGAAGCACCATCGTAGAAACATGAAGCTTTGGAGCAAACTGCTAATGATTGGTGTTTACATTGGTGGTAAGTAGCAGGAAAGACAGATTTATAAAATCAGTTAAGAGAAGAAAATGACAGTGTGGTGCAGTCCGACATGGTCGTTCAGTGGGAGGTAACACGCAGAAGCAGGACAGACCTTGTCCTCCTGAGACCCCAGCAGCTTCTCAAAAGCTTCATGACGTTTCATCAAACCCTCCGTCTCATCCACCGTGTTTCCCAGAGTGCTGTTCTGCAACAGGATCTGCAGAGAGACAACAGAGGATTTACCAGAAACAAGATTTACCTCCCACAGTTTTCTAGTGCAGAACCAACACAAAGAGTGAACGTACCTCCTGTGAGCTGGACGTCTTGTCCATGCTGTGGAGGTCTCTGTAGAAGACCTGCTCCAGGTACACACTCTCTAACCAGCTCTTTTTCTTGTTCCACTGATCCTCCAGTTTATCTCGCTCTGCCTGCACAGCGTCAAGCTTCTCCACCACCTGAGTCACCACAAGAAAAAATAAACCTCTGACAACAGATCTTTAACCTCACTGTTCACCTGAAAGCAGTCGTCCGTACCTCCTTCCTGTTGCTCCGGTCCTGTGTCTGCAGTTCTTCTCCCATGTCCAGAGCCTGCTGGCAGGTCTCCTGTCTGGCCTCCATCTCCGCCCACAGCTGCTGGTGCTGAGCGAGCTGGAGGTCGGCAGTGGCCACATCGCTGATGCTCTCCTCTGCGGCCATAGCACCAATCAGCTGGCTGCACCACAGGAGGTAGTCCTGCGCCTGAAGGTCACAAAGAAACAAATGTGACACCTGACATATCAGCAGATGATTCCTTCATCCCTTTTTCATTCAGATTATTCCTCACCGTGTTAAGAAACAGGTATCGCTGACACGCTAGTTTTAGTTCCTCCTCCCTCTGCTCGGTGTTAAGTCTTAACTCCTCCCACCGCTCCACCACTTCCTGCTGCACGTTCTGTAGGCGGAGCTTCAACTGAGGCGTGCACTGGTCCAGGATGGTGTCGACAGCATCCAGCTGCTCCTGCAACTGTGAAACGTACCTCATTATTTGATCAGGTGTTTCTTTTATTTTGTCCACATGACATCTTTACACAGCTCTAGCACTTATGATACTTGTGGGTTTGTTTGTCCAACAAATTGAAATCTGAATTATTTTCTGTTTATCTCCGTGTCCCTACCTGTTGCTCTGTGACGGCCAACTCGTGGAGCAGAGCCTCGTGTTTCCTCAGCTGTGACATCACTCCTTGGAAATCCTTTGCCACGTCGTCAGGGATGCTTTTCTGTCGCTCCTTCAGAGAGAAACAGAGAAAGCAGAAATCTTTGATGAGACAAACGCACTTTCATACAGAAAGTGATTAACAGACAGACGGAGACTCTGAAAGCGTTCTGATGCTCTGATACCTGGATGAGCATCAGTGCGTCAGTCAGCTCCTGGTAAAAGCGGTGACATCCCTCAGCTCTCTGCAGCTGATCCTGACGCCTTCTGGCCACAGCCTTCAAATCATCCCAGCATGCACTGCAAATGAACAATGTCAGAATGAGCATTCTTTACAAAAAGAATCAACTTGATAAATTAGCTTTTAGTGTTTTTATGTAAAAATAAATGAAACAAGTCACAGACTTAGTGACATTAAGAGGTTTTTTCAGTTCTTTATTTTCACTGTCGGCTGGATGAAGTGTTGTTTACTTGTTGTTGTCGTTCTTATGTTTGTTGTGTATCATCCTCTGCAGACTTGTTTGTTAATGTGGACTTTCAGCTTTCTGCATTAGTGTGTGATGACTAACAAAGACAACTATACCCGAGTTGCTGCAGTGCTTGTCTGACTGCAGCACTCTGTGGATGTTTGCTGCGGATGAGCCGAGAGGCTGCGTCGTTGCAGCTCTGCAGTCGTTCCTCTCCGACCTCAAGCTGCTTCAGGAAGCCTTCAAACTTCCCACGAAGCAACTGAAACACCCACAACACAGACTACAATGCATCATCGTGACAAATCACACATTTTTCTTGAGTAAAACTGGTTTCTCTGATGATCTGGATGTAACACATTACAATGACATGCAATAAAATGCTCAATACTAAAATACACAGATAATATTATGTCTGCAAAGAGTACCAGCAAGAATATCTGTGTCTGAATGTCTGACTGAGGTGTCTCTACTACAAGGTCCTGTTAAAGAGACGAAACCTGAACATGTTGATAATCTTTGCCCAGGTCCTGAGACTCAGCCGTCTGTCTCTGCTGATTCATCCATTCATCCAGCTCTGAAGATTCTTGTCTGAACTCATGGAGATGGAGGACTTCCTTTAACCTCTGACCCCTGACAGGAGACATATGGACAGTAAGACCTAAGGTCCACAGACAGATCCTTGAAGAACAACCTCCAGGCGATGTCAAAAACTATTTATTATAAAAGGAATAAAATCATCAGAATTGCAAGAACTGAGTGTGAAACTGGAGCATTGTATCTGCACTAATAGTATCTGCTTTGAATTAACTGTTTAAACTGTAAAAGCAGCACCAGACAGTAGTCAGAAATAAAAATCTGGGATTATTATTGTGGCTGCAGCTGCATCTAAAGAAGTTAAACCTGAGAGCAGCCTGGTGCTGCAGCTGCTGGTTCAGGCTGTTCAGGTGGCTGTAGGGTCTGCTGAGCTCCTCCAGACTCCAGTTCTGAACTGCCTGCTCCACCTGGTCCCCCAGCTCCTCCACCTCCACTTCCAGCACCTCGAGCTGGCCCTCCAACACCTGCAGAAGGACCAGGGTACGGTTCACAGAGATTTATAAGTCACACTGTTAGTGCTATGTGTGGGGATTCAACGTGATATCACATTATGTATAATGTAAATACAAGATGATGATCTCAAATGACAACAGGTGATCGAACTGTGCATCACCACACGTACGTGCAATGTCACAAAACAAAACGTCAAAACCAATCACAGATGTCTCAGTAAACTGGTATGTCAGTTGGTAGAGCTCATACCTCCACCGAGACCACACACACTGCACACATTCATAGATATCAGTCTTCTTAGTACTCCTGATTTTTTTTTATCACATCAAGATCCATTAATTATTCTCTGATAAAAGATTTAATGAGTTAAAGTCTCAACCTTCCACAAGTTTACTGGAAATCTGTCAAATGATAAACCGTTTGGTGAAGGTAACAAATAGGCACTCTTGATTTTCACTGTGAGTTCCACGGGGAACAAACTGAGTTTGTGCTGTACCTGATGTTTGGTGAGGAGGCTCCGTGTGGCCAGTTGGTCTTTGCCGTAGTCATCGGTGTTCACCACATTGATTGTCTCAGCGAGCCTGGACTCCAGCTCCGAGCAGTCGAACAGCAGCTGGAGACGGATCATATTTAGACAACATTCAGATGATAAGACAGAAGTGTTAGGCCGTGACACCATCTTCCATCGCAGGTGAATCAAAATGACATCACAATGACAGTGTTTTGATACCTGAAACTCATTGTTCAATAATATAAAGTCTGTCAGTTTCATTCATGGATATGATATAAATGAAAGTTCAATTCACAGAATGTCAGAGTGAGCCCACGTGTGACTACAGCAGGATATTGTCAAAGCAAGCAAATCGGCATCAAACACATGACACACACACAAAACAGAACAAAGACAAAAAGAACATTCAAGATCTCAAAAGACGTAGAAGATGCCTTAGACATTTTCCGGAGATTCTGTCTGAATATGGCTCGACTCTCTCACCTGTTCTCTGGTGACGGCCTTGCTCAGATGGGCTGCTCGTCTGTTGCATGCCTCCTCAAACTCCTCCCACTCAGCACTCAGGTGGAAGCACCTGCAAAAGCAGATGAGACCAATATAAAAAAAACATGTCCTCACTCGTGCGTGACAGGATTCAACCTGGAGCATACATTTTTACTTTCAGGGGACTGTTTATAGAACCAAAGAAAAGCACCTCTGGAGCACTTCCTCTCCGTCTGAGCTGCTGGTTTTGGCCAGAGTCCGGCCTTTCTCCAGGACCTGGTTCAGGTGTTTCTGATGAGCGTTAACTTCAGCCTGTAGCTCCTGGAGAAACACACATGCTCGGTATGAACAACAGGTTTTCACTGTTATAGCTGTTCATAAATGTTGATACCTAGAAGATACAGTAGCTTTTACATGAGAATAAATGAAATTTGAATCCAGCTGGTACCTTGTGTTTCTGCATGAGGCTGATGGCTCCAGCCAGAGACTTGTCGTATCCTGTGGACCCGGAGGCAGGAAGGTGTTCAGAGATCCAGCTGAGCTCGAGGGCCACATCGTGATAGAAGCCAAACAGCAGCACCGATGCCTCCAGCTGAGCTCGACGCCGGTCAAGAGGCTTCTGGAGAGATTTGAATCTGCAGCAAAGAGCTCGTTAAATCAACATCGTCTGGTTCAGGTTCCTACGTTTAAACTCAATTATGTTCCTAGTTACTTTTTACTGTTCAACTTAATGTTGTCATGTTTTTGATTTAACATTTTGCTCTTGTTCATCACTGTTTAGTTGCTGATTTTACATTATTGCATTTGAGTAAGCAACATGAACTAACTTTATTGCTAACTTAGCTTGTTAGGCTAAGAGGAGTTGCTAACATTAGATAAACCTTGGTCCTGATCACCACCTCTGACCAAGCTAACTTAGCTTGTAAAGCTAAGAGGAGTTGCTAAC